GGCGTAGGACCCAATAGAAAGGGAGGCGGCAAAAAATGCACTAAATTTTCAGGGACATATTTTTTACGGGGCTGTGGGTATGCGTGTGTGTGTGTGAGTAGGAAACGGCCTATTTCAGGATGAAGGGGAAGGAATTGCGCAAAAATATTGACAAAATACAAATGTATTGCAACACCTCACACATAACAAGAAAATAAACTATATGTATTGTACTCTGAAATTAAGAAATGCTAAAGTCACTGTTTAGCGATGGATGGAAAATAAAATTGCACGGGGTCAGTGCGGTAATTTCGCTTACCACGAAACCACTGAGTAGTTCTTAACGACACGGAGATCGAAGACACCAACATTTCTCGGAGGGAATGTTGAAAAATGAAAGGCTGATCCATTTCACCTCTACTTTTTCTTCTTCTTGTCGGTGGCGGCCGCGGCGGAGGCCAGCATCTCCTGGACCTGGGCCAGCGTCTTGCCCTTGGTCTCCGGGACGCAGGTGGCCACGAAGATGGCGTAGCCGAGGTTGTACAGGGCGAAGAAGGCGAAGGGCACGCCGAAGCCGAGCGCGCGGCCCACGAGGAAGAAGCTCTTGTGCAGCGCGAAGGCGGACAGCGCCACCAGGGCGCCCGACAGCGGCGCGACGGACGCCTTGGCGCGCTGCGGCAGCAGCTCGCTCACGAGCACGTGCGGGATCGTGATGATGCCCATGCCCGTGGACGCCATGTAGGCCACGAGCGCGGCCAGGGGCAGCCAGTGCAGCGCCGACACGTCCGCGCCGAGCACGTCGCGGGCGAGCAGGAAGGCGGTGAGCGAGCCCAGGGCGGCGGCGTTGCCGAACGCCGAACCGGCCAGGATGGTGCGGCGGCCGAGGCGCTCGACGACCGGCATGGAGCCCAGCACCGACGCGATGTTGGTGGCCACCAGGACCACGCTGCACACGGCGGGGCTCAGCGGCGCGCCGGCCTCCTCCACGATCTGGTGGGACATGGGGGTGGGACTTTAGTCGAGGGAGGATGTACGCAACTAAGGATAAAGCCCAAATTTTTAGGTAAAGAAAAATCGGAAAAGTCTGAAATATTTCCAGTAAAACTCGAAAAAATGAAACTTTTGGGGAAAAATTAAGAGATTTTTTTTCTAAATTTTGATCATTTTCCCCATCATTGACCATTAAAATAAAATCCCGTAGATGCTACTACAACTGCAACAACTCATAGAGTTTTGAACAATTCGATGTATCCAGCGTGAGCTCACTCACCTGTTGGGTGAAGGCAAGCACCGTGGTGATCCCGAGGGCGGCAAACGAGCCGGTGAGGACGAGGCAGAGGATGGCGGCGCGCTTGGCCGTGGGGTCGGCGAACACGTCCCGGAGCGAGCTGCCCCCGCCGGACTGCTGCTGCTTCACCGTCTTCAGAATGGCCGCGAACTCACCCCGAACCTATAAAACATCATGCAAAACCATGCAGCAATAGTTAATATACGGCGGTTTCCAAATGTAATAACAATTTTGATTTCAGTGAGATTTTTAAAAGTAATTTTTTAATGTCTCATATGAAAAGTGTCAGTTCTTCGACCCCTAGAAACGAAGTGAACTGGCCACGCCATCAGTGTGAGGCGATATCCCGCGCCAGCGCGTGGGGGCTTTCCACTCCAAAGCTAGAGCGGAGTATCGCCGGTACGGCCAGACAGACGGCCAGGCCATGGCAGGGCAGGCTTCCTGCCGGCTCACCTAGGCATTAAAGTGCCTTAACATTAAAAAAAAAAAAAAAAAAAATCTGAATTTTTTTTTTAAATGCGGAAACTTTTCCAGAAAAAAATCTTAAAATTTCGAAATATTTCTAGAAAAATTGAATCAAAACGAAACTTTTCAGTAACAACTTGAGAGATTGTCAAAAAATAAAAATTCTTGAAAATTTTCCCCAGGAACACTGCGAAAACGATGTATTTCGACTCACCTCCTCGTCCTTCTTGCCGACGCGGAGGGCGCGCAGGTTGGCCAGCGCCTCGTCGGCCTTGCCCTTGGAGGCGAGGTAGAGGGGCGTCTCCTTCATCCAGCCGCGGCCGACGGCGAGCACGAGCGCGGCGGCGGCCGTGACGAGCGGGGCGAGCGCGAGCACGGAGTACGAGAGCAGCGGCCCGGCGGCGTACGACAGCAGCGGCCCGGCCATGAGGAGCAGGTTGGTCACCAGGATGAGGCGGCCGCGGAGCGCCGTGTCCGTCACCTCGGCGACGTAGATGGACGAGAAGGACACGCCGATGCCGTGGCCCGCGCCGCCCAGCAGCCGGGCCAGGTAAACGGGCTGCGCCGACGAGCCGGAGAAGGTGACGGCGGAGCACGCGCCCAGCAGCACGGGGCCCAGCATGAGCGTGGTGCGGCGGCCGGCGCGCGCGAACACCTGCGCGCCCACCTGCAGACGGGGAAATTGGTCGATTAGTTGATTGATTTTATGATCCGGGGATACGCAGCGTACCACGGCGCTTCCAGGAGCCCCACAGCCTTCCGGGCTGTGCACCTCTGTGACACTGTACCGCGGTGCACGCGAGCGCTCGGGTTGCCTACTCGCACGGCGCTCCCAGGAGCCCCACAGCCTGCCGGCGCCGGTCTGTGCACCCTTGTGGGTAGACTGTACCGCGGTGCACGCGAGCGGGCGGGTTGCCTACCCGTACGGCGCTCCCAGGAGCCCCACAGCCGGCCGGTGCCGGGCTGTGCACCCTTGTGGGTAGACTGTACCGCGGTGCACACGGGCGCTCGGGTTGCCTACCCGCACGGCGCTCCCAGGAGCCCCAGCGCCGGCCGGTGCCGGGCTGTGCACCCTTGTGGGTAGACTGTGCCGCGATGCACGCGAGCGGGCGGGTTGCCTACCCGCAAGGCGCTCCCAGGAGCCCCACCCCACATCACAGCCTGAGAGCCGGTGCGGGAAACGCGCCGAACCTACACCGATTCAAAAGCCCACCAACCCCGTAAATTGGAGTAACGCCGCTATTACGATAAGAGGGCTTCTCACGCAAGGCCATCGATTCAAGTGTGTAAATCGACCCGCCGCGTTGAGTAAGAACGTTCGCCTAGGAGCTCGAGCGCGCGGGCCGCGAATGAGAAGCTGGCGGGAAGCGACCTCTCGCCCCCACTTTGCATCTCGGGGGCGACTCGACGGCGTGCGCTCCGGTGGCGCCCTCTCTCCCTTGAGCCGGCCCCCGGCCTGCACCACCACGGACACAGCGTCGCCGCCCCGCCTCGACACGGCGCCTTCCCTTCCCTTCCCTTCCCTCGGGGCGGTGCGGGGCGCGGTGTACGGCCACCTCCTCGGCCTTTCTCTTCGCCCGCGCCCGGGCCTCGCTCCGCGCGCTGTCTGTATTCGTCCGTGTGCGTCGCTGCCGCCGCTGCAGTGGTGGCCCCCCACCCACCCGCGAGTCGCGAGAGAAAGGCGCCCCCTCCCTTTCCCTTTCCCCTCCTCCTCCTCCTCCTCCTGGGCAGATGGCGAGAGGGGGGAGCTCGAGCCACCTCCTCCGTTCACTGCGTCCCGGCTCCGCGGATTTGCGGCGCGACGTCATGGACGCGCGACTGGACAGTCATGGACGCGTTTTGGACGGTTCCGGACGCGGTCGAGCGCTCGAACCGACTGCGCGCTGCGCGCGTCGCGCCCGCGCGGCCACCAGCGGGCGCAGCAGCAGCGGGCGTACCACCGGGCTGGGCACACTCCTCGGCCTCTTGCTCCCCCGCTAGAAGACTCCCCTCCGCGAGTCGGGCCGGACGAGCCGCGCCTCGCCGCCGGCCGACGCGTGTATGGTCAGTCGGCCACCTCCTCCCCTCCTGCTGAGAGCCCGGCGCGGAAAAGACCTCCCCGAGCCGAGTTTTCTCGCGAGGCGGATGAAGACGAGATCTCGACGTGGTGTCGTGGTGTGGTGGGCGCGTCCCGGATCCATCCCCGCCCTTTCGCCTCTCGCCTCCCCCTCTCCATCACGATCACCTCCGCCGCCGGCCTGCTCTCCTGGTGGGGCGCGAGGCGAGCAGACGAGGAGGAGAATTTTTCGGACGGTTTCATATCGGAGGGAGGAGAGGAAAATCGCGCGGTCCGCGAATCATTGACGAATTGACGAATCACTGACGCGCGCGCCCGGCCACGGCCACCTCCTTGAGCCGCTTGTCCGCCTGGTGGTCAGAGCGAGGTACATTTCACATCGCCAAAGAAGAGGTGGCCGCAACATTCACATTGACTCGAGCGGTGACTGCACAAGCAGCGCACACTCGAGAGAGCGGCGGCGGTGACGCGCGGATGGCGCGCTTTGCCGGCTTTCAAAAGGGATCACACGTCACACCGGTTACACCTAACTGGTGGCCTCCGAGGAGAACGCTTCATTCAAAATGTCGTCAGAACGGTGTCATTCTGACTTTTTAGGCCAAAATAGTCCTTCCAGGTGAAAGACATAAACGTCAGAATGACGTCCGGAGACCTTATTTATTTGACTAAAGAGTTCTCACTGGGCGCACAGCAGCGCGTCGTGCACTTCACTTACCAAGGAACCGGCCAGGATGCCGAGGCTGAAGAAGGACACGATCCACGAGAGCTCGTCAATGGTGGGCTTGAAGGGGCCTTCGCCCGCGCGCAGCTTGGCCACGGCCGGGGAAGACCAGCCCAGCGCCAGGCCCTGCGTCAGCGCGAGCAGCAGCACCGGCGCCACGGAGCGCGCCTGGCTCAGCTCGCAGGGCGTCATGGTGGTGGCTGGCGGAAAGGGCGGGAGCAAAAAGGAATCAGGCTTGGTGACAGGAAACAGAGGCGGGCATGGGTCCTTGATCGTTCGCGCCGCGTCACTGCGTAGCTCTCGGAAAAATTCGCTGTACTTACTTCGATGGTAATTTTCTCGGTGTCAATCCGTTTCAAAATTAGACACAAAATGTATAGTGTATCAACGTTGACATAAGAAAAAGGCTGCTTTGTGTTCCCTTGGGTGAATGTGCTTTGTGCACGAATTAAGATAAGAGAAGGGTCAGGTCGGGGAAAGATGAGACAAACATTTTGCGTAAATACCACACATCATACAAAATTTCTCGGTTTGAATTTGGTTCTTGATTGAATCAAGTGCAAGCGGTGACATGAGATTTTCGAATTGTTGCAACTTTTTACTTTTGTGCTGTCTTGTTCTTCCCCGCTCTGACCCCAAGAATGATCGTTGAGAACTCGTACTAGCGTCATACCTTATCACGCAGATCTCATCATTCTGTGGCGCGAGAGGGGACAGATTATGGAGATGACAATCATCGTCGCGCACGTACGCAGCGACCGATATCGGAAAGATGTCGAACCTACGTGTAACGTTATAGTTTGGGCATCGTCCTAATCAGCAGACACCGTCGTGTGTGTCCTCAGTCAGGTACAGGTAATTAGGATCCTTGTAAGAAGCAATCTGCTTCACATGCAGAGTGCACTCTGCCAACCGTCTCCGACTGCTGCGCCTTTCTGCTCGAGATGCAGTAGTTGTTTGTGCAGTGTGCGCGCAGGCCTGGAAAATGTGTCTGTCCGCCTGAAGCTGGCTCGCCTCTTACCTGAGCTCGAGGTCGTTGCAGAAGGTGGGGTGGCCGGGCCGACTCCAAGACGCCTCGACACTGCCGTGCCCGCCGTGTGCCGCGATTGGAGGCTCGCTCTCCCGGCACGATTCGCTCACGGCCCCCACCACCGCGTCTTATCAGCACCAGCATCCACTCAGACAGACTAGAGTCGCTATCAGCCGCCCGGAGGCTATTGGAGTAGACGCGAATGAATAGGTACATTTTTGTATGCCGTAGTGGGATTTGTCAATGTCCACTCAACAGGCAGCAGTAGTGTCGCCTTGACAAGAAATAATGCAGATAAGGGTAAAACTAAGGCAGTAATGGGCAGTATTGAATTGTAATTTCTGTAATTATTATAATTAAATTAATACATTAATTTTCATGTCGCGCTTTTACTTCTTCCTCTTCTTTTTCTTTTCTACAGAACTGGCTAAGTTGACACGTTCGTGCATGGATTCTTCAGCATCACCATTGATTTCTTCAACCTGTTTAGCTTTCCTTTTTTTGGGTGACGTTAAAACAGGTTTTTCGTCAACTGTGCTGTTGATATCTAATTTGTCTGTTTTCTTCTTTTTCTTTTTTTTATTAAGTTTGGGGGCAATATGCTGTCCTGACCATATTTCTCTAGTTTTACCAATCAGTAAAGTTTGTCCTTTGACAGTCAAGTCTTCCATTGCCATGGCTTTTTCTACGCTCTCTGGTTCCTGAACAAGTCAAAAACAAAATAATCAAAGTCAACACTTCTTGCTTAACAATGAACATTTTTAGACATTTTTCAAAAGACTTTACCTTAAACTCAATGCAGCACTTTTTTAGAGAACCAGGTTTGCTTTGAACAAATTTAATATCATGTATGAGACCACAATCTTGAAATTTAAGAAATATGTCAATATCTTTAGTATCTGGAAAAACAGAAACAGTATTATCTCACAAGTATAAACGTGGTCTTTTACCACAAAAGAACACTGCAACACATTTGCCTTGCCTTACCTCTAGATATACCAGCAACAAAAAGAGGATTTAGAAATTGGTATTGAAGCATTCCCTCTGCTCTCTGCGTAACACTGAGAACGTACCCAGAGAGTTCAAGTCCATTTGAAGCCACTGCATTTTCAGCAGATTCTGAGTCCTTTAAAGGATAAATTTGAAAAATGTCTTCATTTACAATTTTTAATTAGGTAACTAATGATAATTTACTGAAAGGCAGAAACACTTACCATAAAGTAAAGAACTGCTTGAGCTTCCTCCTCTTCTTCTTTAACTAAAACTTTAATTCTTTTAATGGGACCACATTCACCAAAGGATTTAATAAGGTCTTCTTTTTGAATATCTGTGGAGAAAATTTTATTCCACAAGAAAACAAAATAATTTAAATACTTCCTCACCCCCCTATTTTATTTCAATGCCCTAACTTACCACGCGGAAGACCTGCTACAAACACAGCAAATTCCTTGGAGGGTTTCTGCTCTTCATTTTCAGAAGATGGAGAGCTTATATGAATGTCATTTCCCTCAAGCGATTCACCATTAAGTTTCAATGCCTTGCGAACACTCTTCTCAGACTGAAATACCATATTAGAAATTTTATGATCTTAGGTAAAGTACATAAAAACAAATTGTTTTTATGAACTTTTTTTAGTGATGAAAATCACTGCACTGACCTTGAAATGTACTTCTCCCTTTAGAGAAGATGAGTTTAAAGGGCGGTCAATGTGAATGAACCTGATAGTGCCACAGTCCTCAAAGAAACTCCACAGATTTTCTTCATCAGTCTCTGCAACAGGTGAAAAGATTTATTTGACATAATTTATAATATCATGATACAATTACAGTTGGGCATCATGTTATTATATTAATATGTAAAACTGGAGGCACACTTACCCACAGATAAATTTGAAATATTGATCATTTTAGAGGTGGGTTGAGAAAATTGACGAAACTTTGACACAATTATGTGTCGTCCACCAACTTCAGTTCCTGTGAGTTTTGTGGCTTGCTCTGCCTCGTCTTCAGTTGAGAATACTATCAAACCTTGCTGAATTCTTTGGCCTGCTAACTTCCTTTCAAAGAAATGATGCTGGAGCAATATACAGATTAGATTAAATTAGATTATATTATCCAAATGACAACTCATGCACTAGCAACTCTCTGAAGACCAAATTATTTGAATAATTGTTCCAACAGATGACTTATTCTGCCACTCAAAAATTACTCACATGTTGAATCTTTCCGCATGATGTAAAGTGTTCTACAACATTGTCACACGCAGCTTTGTCATCTAAAGGTAAATTTTTAATGTACACCTTAAGTGCATTGTCAAAACGTTCCCTAGATTTTAAAAACAAACGGAAAAATAAGACACAGGTAGATGAAAGAAAAGAGACAGGTAAAATGGAGATAATTACGGTTTCTCCTTAACAGGTTTCCAAGTTGCTGCTTCCTCGAAAGTGCTTGGCGCCCAACCCCTCTCATGATTTTCTTGAGAATGACTGTTTGTCATTTCCTGAAATTAAAATAAACAATTACCCTGGATCTAGTTTCAGGAGGAAAAGACTAGTAAAAGTGAAGTTTTTGAAGAATCCTAACCTGTGCTACGAAGACAATTTTATACGAAAATACACAGACGACAACACAAAACTTCAAAAATGTCAGATGACATTAAACGATCAGAACAAAAAATAATGGGGAGCTGGAAACAAATATGAATCAATCAAAATGTGACTCACCTCAAATTAAATAGGTTGCGGTGAACCTTCAAACGCACATGTGTTTATGTTTGTGTCGTGTGCTCGCGGTGAGGGTGCTTTCGTGTAGATGGCTTAGCTTTCGGTCGGGGTTGGGATGCCACTATAAAGGGAAGGGAGGTGGCGTAAGGAACGTACCCAGGTTCCACATGTTCTTCAATAAACATGGCGTCTCCGGTACCAGTGGTTGCAGGTAGGCTTAACATTTTATTCGCTGACCTTTTAAAGCTGAAAATTTCAGTAATAATGCTGAATTTAATTGAAATTAGATTCAATCACTCTCTATGTGATAATTGGTGTTGACTGTCCACACTACATCCAGTCAGAGATTAAACAATCCTCTCGGCCTCCGGTCCGGTGCCCCTACCATGCCAGCATCACATTTTTTAGTGAAAAGCTTACAAGAAAATGTATTTCGTCATTCACCTTCGAAAATCTCCCTTTAAATCTCAGATATTGTGATTGGTTTCCTTTGTAGGTGCTTACCTGTCACTGTACTCAAAATGTCACAGTGTGTTGTATACTCTGGAAATTTGAGAGTGCCTAGTCACATGGATTCAAATAGTTGATTTGCTTTATATCACTCCTATGCACTGAAATTTGCAAGGTTACTGTTCTGACAGAACCAATTTTTTCTCCACCTGAGGACTATCTACCTCTCTGCTGGTCTGTTTGACACTTCAGTGTGTGCTCCCAACCTAACTTTTACTCAAAATGGAACTTAAGTTTAATTGAAAAATCATTGTTCAAGCGAGCATATGAATTTTTAAATATAGTTCTCGGTTTACTTACTTTTACTTCAATTTTTAAATGTTTTGACTCTTTCCCATGCGTGATGTAAGGGTGCAATTTTCACCCCCATATGTTTCGCACAACGACTCTAATACCTGCTCCTAATTTTGCATTTTACCTTTCCTAGACACATTTGTAGGATGATTTTTAGTAGCTGTTCTGTCATATTTTTGTTTTGTTTTGCAGTTCGGGGGTCCACTGGGATTTCCATTAATCTAGGTCCACCCAACTATGATCCAGTCACTGCTTTCCAGAAAGATGACAGCAAAGCATGCAAGTGTATGCTTTTCAGCCCCGATAGCTCAAAATTCGCCTGGGTGAATGGAATAAGGTAACCTTACCTCTGTTTGTTTGCATGGATGATAGTTCATATCCTTTATTATTGTATACTAATTAGAGAAATTGAATACTTGCAGTGTTAAAATTGTGTCAACTTCAACATGGAAGCTCCTTGCAGAAATTCCTCGTCCCAAAGTGTCGTGCATTAAATTTTCTCCTAAAGGCACATATCTTATGACATGGGAACCATGTATCAGTAAGTTAAAATTACTCTTTCTTTTGTCTAATTGATGATATATTTTATCACCAGTGTTCTTGTTATTTGTTCTTTTAAAATTTTTAGCTACCACCGCTGGTCCGGGAGGTCCAAACCTGCATATTTTTAAGTCAGAAAATGGTGAACTGGTCAAAGATTTCATTCATAAAAAGCAGACTGGATGGTAAGTAGCGTATAAACCTGGTTAACTTCTGTACTTCTGCTCAGCATGCATCTACCTCAGTCCACCAGACTTAATTTGGAATTATATTTTCTCAGGGAACCTCAGTGGAGCCAGGATGAGAAGTTGTGTGGTAGGTGTATGAATGATGAGCTGTTGTTTTATGAAGATGGCAAATTTGATTCAGTAGCCCTCCGAGTCAGAGATCAAAAGATTGCAAACTTCGCTGTGGCTCCTGGCACAGCACCATATCATGTTCTGTGCTACATGCCAGGTAAAATTAATGTTTTGATTGTATTGCTGAAGCTAATTTTGATATACTTTGTCTGTACCTAACCATGTTTTTTATATAGGTAAATCTGGCACCCCATCTTTTGGTAGACTCTTCCAATACCCAAAGTTTGACCAGCAAAGCTCCTTAGCAAACAGAAGCTTTTTCCAGGTTAGCTAATCGGAACAAAGGGTTTATTTCATTTATGGTGTACTATTTGAAAGAACCTATTTTATTTTCAATATTTTATTTTAGGCTGATCGAGTTGAAATGTTTTGGAACTGCAAAGCCACAGCAGCTCTCCTCTTAGCAAGCACAGATGTTGATAAGACTGGTAGCTCCTACTACGGAAAGCAAACCTTGCACTTCCTTTCCACTAAAGAGAGTGCTTTAGTAGTTCTTGGTAAGCCTTTCTTCTGTAACTTACACAATAGTGATGTTAATGTTCATCTTAGTGCAAAAATATATTCAGTATTAACTATTGTCTTTATGTCACAGGGAAGGAAGGTCCTATCTACAGTGTTGAATGGAGTCCTAAGGGTACAGAATTTTGTGTATGTTATGGCTTTATGCCTGCCAAAGTTACTATGTATAACATGAAGGTTGAGTCTGTATTTGAATTTGGCACTGGACCACGCAATGCCATTCACTATAATCCTACGGGGAATATTCTCATCCTCGGTGGTTTTGGTAATTTAAGAGGAGGTGTTGAAGTCTGGGATGCTCCTCAAAGAAAGCTTATTACTAAATTGGAAGCACCAGACACAACCCTTTTAGAATGGTCTCCAGATGGCAAACATTTTATGACTGCTACTACTGCACCTAGGTTGAGAATGGGCAATGGGTATGTTCCAACTAAACCTTTTCCTGACAAGTAAAGGTAAAAATTTGTTTCACTAATACCCATTTTTTCTTTCCCAGTTTTAAAATTTGGCATTATTCAGGAGCCCTTATGTACGAAAGACCCTGGAACAAACAGGAAGAACTGTGGGAAGTTTTATGGCAGTCATTCCCAGCAGGTGTGTTCAAGGAGCCCTCAATTAGCTACAAGGCAGTTGAAGGCATTCAGCCAAGTCAGCCTACAGGTAAGCACAGAAAATTTCTGTAACAGTTGTGTATTTTGAGTCTTCACAAAAACTTATTCTGTATTTTTATTTTTGTGCCATTTATTTTAGCCTCTAAACAAGTCTATAGACCGCCCTCTGCAAGAGGAAAAGAATCCAATTTCAAACTACATGAGGAGGAACTACCCCACAAACCAGGAGAGAGTCGTAAGTTAACTTCCATATTCTACCATAAGCTTCAAGACTAACTATACACCAATTAATCATCAATTACTTAACATTTTAACTTTGTTTACAGCTCTGGCTGCATCTAACTCATCTAAGGCTGCTTTAAAAATGAAGAAGAAACGTGAAGCCAAGAAAGCTAAGAAAGCTGAACAGCAGTCTCTAGGAGATATTGTTGAAACTCCTGCCCCTGCCAACCCAGCTGTAAGAGACCAGAAACCACCAGCAACCAATGGTATAAACACACTGATACCTGCAGACTCAGAAATTGATGACCCTGAAAAGTTGAAGAAGTTGAAGAAAATCAAAAGTGTAAGTTTTTTTTCTCAGGTCACACATTGTACTTATGTCTATTTAACTTCCCAAAATAATAATTCCCTTCCTGTCACAGAAATTGGACCAAATTAACCGTTTGAAAGAGCAACTGGCAAGTGGTAAACAATTAGAGATCAACCAACTGGATAAAATCAAGAAGGAAGATGAACTTTTGCAGGAAATAAAAGATCTTGCTTTGTGATGACATCATGAAGGCGCACTGCTCCCCTCCGCCTTCACTCATTGCTCTCAGTCTGATACTGAGCACATGCGGATGCAGTGCCTGCCTCTCTCAATGCCAACTAGCACATTTCAACAAGAAAATATCGCCTCAACTTTGCCCAGTATTGTTCCTCAAGCCTGTACCACAGAGGTGCTGAACGTGCCAGAAAAAATTGAGCCCTCCCAACAAACTTTACTGTGTGCAACAGACTCGCAATCTTCTCCAATGAATTCCTTTTCGTTTGTTGCATCAGTTCGAGCAAATACGGATTCACTTGTGAATTCATCTGATCGTGTTGCAATGGTTTCAAGTGTTTTGAAACAGAGCATGATAAACCCGCATATATCTTCACAGAGACCATGTGAACTTCTTCAGTCTAATGTATTTCAATCACAAAATAACTCAGTGTTGCCTTTAGCATGCTTTGTTAGCTTAAGACCAGATAATTTTAAAAATCAAATCAGGGCTAAATCATATTTTTCTGTACCTGATTCTATGAATTATTCTGCACCTGCTTTTAATTTGTGGACCTCAGACTCTTTCACTCTGGAGGGAGGTGGGTTTGAGTGCGCTACTACGACCAATTCTGAACGCAAAGTGAGTTTTTAATTTTTCAGCTGATATGAGGCATAGAAATTCATAATTAAAAGATTGAAACATTGTGAATACTCATGGTTTCAGCCTTAACTTTTACTTACATTTTCTTCTTAGTTTCAATTAATAATCTATGATTTTGCTCACTTAATTGTTAGCTCGCATTGTTTAATGAATTTGAAGGATATAATTAAGGATATGAATTAAAGTCAATCATACCACTGTTGTATGGTTGTTTATAGCACAAGAAATGTGCCTTGCCAAAGTTGAGATTTAACAAATTAAGTGTATTTTGGTTTGATGTTTTGACTGTTAAAGAGTGAGTGCTTAAACCAAGAACCTGCATTCATTATTTTAGTGTTAAATGATTTTGCAAATTTCTTTTGGCAGTTGTGCTTGTTGATTTGTTCTTTGGTGTTTGACAATTTTTCTACAGTTTGTTGATTTTCCCCTTTTCTCTCTCTGTACTGATCATTTTTAAGTGTTTGTATTATTTACTCCAACTTCATAAGCACAATCATGTACATAACAAAATATTATTGTTATTATTGAATTTTTCTCCACTTCTTAATGACATTTTAGGTTTAACTTAATGTTTTTAGACAGTCTGGTACTTCCTATATGTCTATCCACTTTTTGTTGTAGTCATGTCATGTCATTATCCTCAAAATATTGTTCTGTATGTTGTGATGTGATCAACCTGGAAGATATTTTCAATGCTTTTCTTTGCCCTTAGTTCATTAAGTGTTGTGTCGGTTCTCAGATATTTTGCTGCCATTTGCGCTACAGGAATAACAGCACAAACTTCTCTACTTGTACATATATATTTACCTACATTGATGTTAAATGTATGCCTCCTAGATCGTTCTTTTAAAAATAGCATGTAAAATTGTATGCTGTGCATAGACATACTGCTTCCTAAAGAAGTATTTTTGAAGTGCCTTAGAACATTCATTATTGCACAGCATAAACAGTTGGTGCGACCACGTTCTTCCTTCCTAGCAGGCTTTGAATTTTCAGATTCTAACTGTTACAATGTCCCAATTTTTGTCTTAAAGCTTAGGAATATTTGATTGTATAAGTGGCTGCTCAGTTCTTTTAGTGCCAATTCATGTCTCATGAAAATAATTGTCTGCTGAGACTGTGGGTGGGCTGCTATGGGCTTCTCATTTAATTTTCCATCAGCAACTCTGATTTTGCATTGTTTCCTTATGTTATCACTTTTACCTTGTCAAAAAAATCTTTTATGTAATTTTTGTAATCAAAATTTAAGTTATTTGCAAGTGTTGCATTATACTTGTCACATTGTTATCTACCTCTTACTTTGTCGTTACTTTGCTCCTCAAAGAATTTAAAGAAAGTTTATCAAAGTCTATTTTCTGTACGTATGGAGATGCAATAATGTGCTGAAGCTGCAGTTTGCTGAAATGAGATGCCATGGATGCTACCATCAGATATGAATTAAAACAGCATAGGTCATCCTTAATCCAGCATTCTTTTTCCCCTACTTTCCTGAAGTCATTCTCTTAATCGATTGATAATCTGACCGATCTGTCTACTCAAAAAACTGGTAAATATTAGTTCATATGCACATAGATGGTTCACTGTGTACAAACATTTCTGGGAAGAAAAGTGACACTTTTACAAAACTGTATTTGACATTTATTTGGTAACACAGTTACAAAATGTACGTTTTAGAGGCACACACAAATAAAACTTGCCCATCAAAGGACTGTCCCGGCTCAGAAAATGACGAAGCAGCTGTTTTTTTTTTGTTTTTGTGCAGCCCTCCCTAGTTGTCTAGATAATTTTTTTAAAATTATTATTATTTTCTTTTATTTGCGGGACGGACGGATTAGTTTTGCTTGCCGTGTGCAGCGGCTGCGCTTGGCTGCGTTGGTCCTGCCTGAGCCCCCGCTGCCCGCCGCGCACCGCCTCGCCCTGCTATTTGAGTGCATCCACCGGCACCACCGCCGCCGCGCCGAGCCGAGGGTCCCCTAGACGACGGTCCTGAAGGTGTGGCGAGGTGAGTGAGCGCGAGTGGCCAAGGAGGAGATTCGCTCCCACAACGCCTCCCCCCCC